CCTCCTGACCCGGGGCTCCCCTTCCCCCGCCGGCTGCAGGTCCCGTGCCCTTGGCCGCAGCTTCGGCCTCCCTTGTTGTCAGGAGTAAGGCTGTGGAAAAGCAGCGCGGAAGGGCCTGTTGGTAGGTGTGGGGGTGCAGTTTCACAGCTCTGTCTTGAAATCTTTATTTTATTTTAGTTTGTTTTCTTCCTCCGAATCACAAAAACATAGGAGTATCTGTCTGGTGACGAATGCTGTTTGGAAAGAGCCTTGTATTCCTGCAGAACTGCGGATAAATGATGTCCGCGTCTTGTGTCAGGGTCATGCTTTCTTTTATAGGGTATTAAAAATAGTGACTTTGTTACAATGATTTTCCTGATAGCTGCTCTTATAACAGTACTAATTAATGTTTTGGGTTTTTAATACCGAATCGTGTAGTGGCAAGGTGACGTAGTAAAGTTTGTTAAAACAAATTGAAAACGAACGGTGTATTCTGTGAGGATTTGATCTAATTGGGAAAGCTTAAGTTTTTTCTGAACTTAAAAAGTAAGGGAACATGTCAGCTACAAATCATCCGAACTTTCAGAGCACAACAGTAGTTACGAGTTTTGTAACAGGAAAATTATTACTTTTAGGAGTTGCTTTGATGAAAATGTTCTGCTGAGGTGCTGAAATAAATTTCCTTTTTTGAAAAGAGGATTAAACTTCTTTATCAATACATATTTTCTTGCAGTTTAGGATGGCTTTTGCTCACTAGAAAAATAATACTGTTGTCCTGTATTCCTTAAACTGCTGAGTTCCTATCTTAATTTTTGACTGCAGGAGGTGCTTGTCCTAAATTCTTGAGAAAAATGTCCTCTGGTCCTTCACCTTTGCCCCACATGGGAGTTAGATGACTACTGTCTGGAAGCTTTCAAATATGTAAACTTAAACTTACGAATGACGTGTGTGTGTATGTTTTACATGCAATTTCTTAGCTTTTTGATTTGAATTCAGTATGACAATTTTTTTTCTGTTTGTTTTCTAGAAACACACTGCTTTTGCTACCTTTCCCAGTGAAAATGCAGCTGTGAAGGTTCGTGTTGAGTTTGTTATTGAAAGTTTTAGCAAAGCACTTTTCTGAATTGCCAGTTGTGCTCTAAGGTGTTTTACACGTCATCTAGTACTCAGTGTCGGGGGGGGGGAAATGCAGAGCAATGTAATATTAGGATTCTGTTTCAGGAGGTGCTTGAAGGACTCGGTAAAACGAACGCTTCTGTAGAGTCATGAGAAAGGCGGGTTGGAAGGGGCTTGTGGAAGTCATCTGATCCATCCTGTCACTTAGAGCATGGCAAAATTCCATGAGTTAAGGCTGATCAGGGCCTTGTCTAGGGTGTGTGCATTTATATGTAAACTATAAACCAAACGTAATTTACTTGTCTCCTGCATAACTGCATATTTGCCGTAAAATTCAGACATAGTGATGTACACAATTCAAGACTGCCTTGAATGCCCAACTTTGATAAGAAAAAGAAAACTACCATGTTAATGGGGGACATGGATGCCAAAAAGGTAATGCTAATAATGCTTTTTAAATATGAATCTGGTAAAAAGCCTGTGTCCTGAATTTTCTTCTTATGCCCTGGTTTTTTTTGGTGTTGCTTTTATTTTTTTTTTAGGCCATGCTGTAAAGTACTAGTCAAAAAAGTTACAAAGACTATGTGAGGTGAACAGTGGTGAATTTAGGTTGCTTTGTGTCAGTTGTTAGCAGCCTATCAGGATCTGGACTTGCAGAATGCTGGAGCTTCCTGGTGTCACTGTTAAGAATCTTGATTTTAAAATTCCCAGCTATTACTAGTGGACTTCAGCACGTTTGTAGTTTGTGAGCAAGAGGTTGGTTACTTGAAATCACAGAGATTGACTAGGCTATGTAATAAATATCATTAAGGTTGCTACTGTGTTCAGATGACGTAAGTCTCTGCAATGGTTCTAGCTGTGCAACCTCGTCTTATTCCTTCCTGCTATAAGGAAAGAGGCTGCTAAAAGCAGGGCTGTGAGGGCAGGAACGGTGCAGAACTGCCTGTGTCTGTAGTGGCACAGACTTAGTTTAAAGCAGTTGGGACTGCATCCTATGGCTACTTTACCAACCAAAGGAAAAACAGTTATGCTTTGAAATAATTCTGATGTATTTCGTCTTTCCTTTCTTTCTTTTCTCCATTATAATTATTTGAAGGCTCTGTCAAGACTGCATCAGCTGAAACTTTTAGGTCACACCTTAGTTGTTGAATTTGCAAAGGAGCAAGATAGTGTGCAGGTACTTAGCCAGCCTTCTGTCTCAGAGAAGTGTAAAAGGTACGTGCATAATAATTCAGTCTCTATGTTTGTGGTCAAGGAAAGGGAATTCCATGTTCATGATACTTTTGTAGTACTGTTAAGTCAAAGGATGAATTGTAACCATTTAGAAGTGTTAACAGGCGGGTTCAGATCTCTAGATAAGTGACTGCATTCCTCCCATTAGTATTGTTTCATTCGCTGTCATCATGAAATAATTCCCATCCTTATTCCTATAGTTATTAATATCTTTAATCAGCAGATGGTCCTGTTTGTTCTCATTTGCAGAGCAAGACTCCAGTCTGCGTAAGCTGACCTCTGTGTTGCACAGGTTCCCTGTGTTTAAAAAAGACTCTTCTACTTTTTTTTTGTGTCAGGATTATAATTTTCTTTTGCTGTTAGTGCATGCCGTGCTTTCCTGATGTTTCTTTCGAATCTAATCAAGAGTCAGGCAGAATTGACATCTGCTACCATAACTGTATAAGACTATACTATTATAGCCACTGGCTTCTAAGCTGGAGCTGATTTGCATGTATCTAGCTTGAAGCATGAGCACAACAAAAGTAAAACTGTCTGAGTCTCTCTTCAAACAGTTAAAGAATATGTAATATTTAAAAATAAAAATTAAAAAAATCAATGAATCCTAATGCTAGTGTGACCAGGAACTGTGATAGTTTGGGTTTCAATTGTCTGTCAAGTACTTAATTAAAAAAATAAGTTGCATAGTTAGGCTTTCAAGTTTACCTGTGTAATATGTAACAAAGTGATAGAAGCTATGTGATAGTGCTTAATTAAAATCAACAGTAGAGGTTTTAAGTTATTTATTCCACTCTCTGAATATGAACAAATCAATAATTTAATACCTTTTGATTTTATATAGTCTCTGAACAGAGAGTAACATAAAAAAATTTTAGTTCTTGTGCTGTAAGTAGATTTGTCAGGAGTGTTTGAATATAGGGAGGCTTACTTAAATCTGCATAAATATTTATTTCAGAAGTCTGGCTACTATAATTATCCACATGTGTTAATTCTTAAGAATTAATAATGGCTGTAGTAATGCCATTGATAAAAGATGTTAAAAATACTGCACTAATCTATTTCTTATATTTTTAATAGATGAGATTAAACATACTTCATATATTATGTAAGGCACTTAAATTTTGCCCTGTTTTAATTAATGCTAAATTAATTTTCAGTTCAGAAGAACCAGTGAAAGAAGAGGAGAAGAAAGAACCAAGCTGTGTTAAAATAGAGAATGGAATTGCACCCAACCATGGGTTAGTGGGGTTTTTTTGTCTTAATTATTTTATTCTGTTACAGTTTCTTTTGAAATAAGTGTTATGTACTGTTGAACAAGAGAGAATGCAGCATCCCATTCTCTCTTGTTTTGTTTCATGGTATGCTACTGTTCTACACGCATAGCTGTAGGAATTGTCATAAAGGTGAAATTTTAGTTCTTCAAGTTTAGAACCTTCACAGCTGATCAGTGACTGGTGCTTTGAGCCGTGAAGTTGTGGGTTGCATAATAGCCTTCTAGCCCTATGCATTGCTTTCTGAGGAAGAGTTTGAGGACTGGGTATGTTGTGCCAGTGTTAACAGCAGAATACTGTTGACTTTTGTTTTTCCAGAGGTTTCTTGTTATTTTTTTCCCCCATTTGTATTTGTGCGTGCATGAAAAATAAATTTCTTTTTGGGCTGCTAAATCCAGCACTTTGAGCATTGAGTTTAAGATGTTTGTACAGCATGCTGTGCTGTGCTTCTGGTTTTGGACATGTTGATTGTTTCTGTGTGCTTTAGGCTTTCTGCATGTGTTGGTACTTTCATCGTGCCCAAGCCCAGTAAGTCTGTCATGCATTAGGGGACTGCTCCCTGATGTTAAAGACATAATGTAAGTGGCCCAAAACTGTTCTAGGGGAAATAATTACATTTCAGTGACGCTTCGGATGTAATGAATAGTTAAACCTCTAGTAATCATTAATTGTTATCAGTCATTATGTGGCAATGGTGCTAAGATGTCTTGTTTTTAATCTTTTTTTCCTCAGCCTCACCTTTCCCATCAATTCTTGCCTCAAATATTTGTATCCACCACCTTCAAGTACAATTCTAGCAAATATAGCAAATGCCTTGGCAAGTGTGCCCAAATTTTATGTCCAGGTAAGTGAAAAAGGGCAAAAAAAGAAAGTATAAAAATAAAAACATCTCCTTTTTCCTCTTTTAATTATCCACAGAAATAATTTTCGTCATAGTTAATATTAAGTTAGTTTTCATGTGACAGTGTTAACCAATGTTATTCTTTTACTGTGTTGAGATAATAAGACCAGAAGTAACCTACTTCATTGACACTGAAGACTTAACTGGATGTGATCTTCCTAATTAGATGTGGCTTGAGTACTTGACATTTCATTCTGAGAAGATGCTTTACTCTTTTTGATTAGCCTTTTTAGGGTGTTGCTCATATTTACCATTAGTGTTGGATCTCAAGTGCAGGCTTTCACATTGTTTAATAACCAAGGTAGTTGTGTCTTCATTAAAACTATGCTGATTTACACCTGCCAGAAGTTACTGGCTATGATACCTAGCAAGGAACTATTTTCATTCATTTATTTATTTAAAGGAAATCCTAACTTACCTTGAATCGTTTCAGGTACTTCACCTTATGAATAAAATGAATCTTCCTCCACCTTTTGGACCAGTTACTGCTCGCCCTCCCATGGTAACTTTTTAAATACGTGTTTTAAGTACTGTAAAACGGATTCACAATTTAAAATGTTAGCAACATGGTAGGACATCTAAGTTCAAACTTCTCAAAGTTGGAGAAATCTCTAGAGGATAGCAAATACTGCTGCGTTTCATTGGGTAAGATGTGCATGTCAGTCTTTTAAAGAAATCTTTTTAACTAGACTTAAAACAAAGAAATACACATGTATGACAGTAGCACTGGAATATTTCAAACTGTTGAGTATAAAAAAAAAGGGAGGTTGTAGCATCATGTTACAGATACACTAAATACAGAATACCGTTAGCCCGTTGCCTTACAAAGATGTGTTAAGTTCTTTGATCCGTGTGTTCCTTTAGAGTTCTAATTAGATTCAGTTTGTTAATGAGATTATACAGCGCTTTGGGATTTAACTTGCTCTGTCTCCAGGATGTTTTTTGAAAGAGGGAGGGTTGAGGGAAACTGGCAGAGGCTTAGGGGGAGCTGTTTCTGAAGGGAAATAGAAATACCAGCTCTGTGGTCTCAGTTCTCTGACGCTGTGATAGAGTAGTTTAACTGACTGCCAGCGGAAGGTAGAGCAAGTGAGGACTTTCATTAATAGTGATAGCTCCAGGATTGGGATATAGTGAAGTTGTGCTCCACCACACTTTGTGTTTGCCCTAACAGAACACCTGCTTCTAGTAACGGGGGAGCTAGCTGGTAAAGAAAACTATCAAATAAATCTATCAAATAAATGAATGCACACTGATTTTTCTGGGAATAATTTTATTTGTTGCCTGGTATTGGGCCAGGTTAAGCACTGTGAATTTAATGGTCATGCAAAAAAGAGTAGTAAGGTGCGAAGCCAGTCCTTGAAATTCCTAGAACAGTTTCTAAAGGGCACGGTATTTCTAATGCCAGAAGACGTCAGTGCCTTAAGGAACTTAAGGTAGCTGTTAAGCGTAGTAAGATTGTTGAAAGTGGGGCTGGAGATGATTTTGTATAGGAAATTCCTTATATGTGTTTTTTGCAGTCTCAATGAAAAAAATTACTCTTTTCATGAAATCCTCACCCCTTGCAGAAATAGAAATGTAACTTTGATAGGTGGTGGAAGGTTCAGTGTAGAAACTGAGATGGCTTGGGAGGTTAGGCCTCCTCCCATATGGTTTGACCGTATTCCTCTCAGGAAAGTCCTTAAAGCTGAGTGCAAAGTAAAAACCCAGGGCCATAGTTGCTAATTTTTTTTTAACTCCTCAAAAGAATGAAAACGTTCACTGTTATGCTTCAGAAAGTGGCAATTTTTTTTCTTGTGGAAAGTTTTCATTAGTAATGTAGTTTAGCAAAATAGCATCTAGGTCCCTATAAACATACTTTAAAAAAAAGTTTCTTGTCAATCTTCTAATTTATTGTTTTGACTGGTTTTATTATGTAAAGGAAAACAAGATATGCAATTAGTTTTCTTAAAATGTTGTTACTTCTTTTTTTTTTTAACTTTACCCCCATAATTAGTATGAAGAGTATTTACCAGTGCCTGTGCCACCTCCCCCAATCCCACCTCTGCCTCCTGAAGAGCCTCCTTTGCCTGAAGAGGAAGAAGAGCAACTATCTAGTGGAGATGAATCAGAATATGAAAGTGATAATGAGGAGGAAAAGGAGAGGTATCCATTTTACAGTCATTTGCAAGCTTTTGGGCTCTTTTAAAGTTGTGTTTTTACTTTTCTAGCTTCTAGTTCAGCAAATGGTGGAATCTGTTAACGTTTGCAGTATATAGATAATCTTTCCAGATGCTTAAGGAAGCTCCAGAGTGACTTAAAAACAGAAGGAGAGTGCTGTTTTGAATCACAGTAGGAGAGGGGAAAATGGCCAAATGGTATGCAAATTATCATTTGTTCCCATGTCCAAAGAACAAAAACCCAAGAAAACAAAACCTCAGAGTGCAGATAGAAGGAAGCAATAATTAATTTGTTTTCTGGATTCTTCATTTTTCCACATCTTTACTGAGTAAACTACTCAGCCTGAATCATATGTGCATTCTGACTTCCAAAATATTCTTTGTACATCAGTGTGTATTGCTAGGAGCAATAATAATGGGAGGTTGTGTGTGCTGAGGATTCTCTTGCAGTTTTGGGACTGAATTCACAGCATAGTTGTTTGGTTTTTTTAAATCTTTAATAGTAAATGAAGAAGCAATTTTCTTTATTTGCTATTTAAACTGAAAAGTAAATCAAAAAGTCCCTATGTTATATTCGGAAACATACATGCATTTGGAAAAAGGCACTCCTGTTGAGTGGAAATAGTATTATAAAAAAATGTTTGGCTTGGGGTTTCTATAGCATTTCTACAGCTTCAGTGTCCTATTTAGGTGCATGCTTGGGGAAGGAAGGGGCATCATTGAACTCATCACGATTTTGATCGGTCACTTAAGTGCTCTGTGTATACCGATTTGCTATATGTGTTACAGTTTATTAATGTAGTTTCAGTATTAAGGTAGCTAGATTTATAACCGTGTTCTGAAAAGTTGTATTTCAAGGGCTTTAAGGAAGGGGGAAGGTTTTCCAAAATGAGTTCAAATAAACTGTAAACCACTTTGGTTCTTTTTTAAATTCTGTTTAAAATAGAATGACCAAGTTGATGGAATTAGCAACCCTTCAGCCTAAAAGACCAATAAACACAAAGAGGCGTGGTGTTAGAAAAAAGCAAAGAATTAAAGACTTATTGAATGTTCCCGTGTGTACTCCCCACAGGTCTGTATTATTTCTGGTTTTTGTACTTTTTTGGAAGATTATTCCTTTTACTAAATGACATTCTCTGTATCATGTTTGCTTTAGTGTTGCTGTTTTAAAACAAGCGTTCTTCACTGATAGGTAAATTTGGTAGTGGAGTTGGTCTTCTCTTACCGTCATGCTTGGTTTTATTGCTCTAAAGGTCCAAATTTTTGTGTAATTTGAACTCAAGTCTGCTCAACGACCTTGATCTGTAAAGTGTGCCTGGTTCGAGCTCTGTGTTTCTCTTGCTATCAAACTAATAAAAATCCCTTTTTCAGAAAAAAAGAAAAACAATTTCATATCACAGCCCTGACAGAAGCAATCTGGATTTATTGTTTGGGATGCTGTTTTAAATAAATTAAAAAAAAAAAAGGATGATACTGGAAGAATAAAAACTGATTTGGTTTAAAATAAGTTTGGTTTTTGAAACTGCAGTACCATGGCACAGTAGACACCAGTGTAGTATTTCTGTGTAGTCGTGATCAATTGTGAATGCATTTTTACTGATAGCAAATCACTTGGAGGAGGAGGAAGGCTATATTTTTTGAAAATCTGGTATATTTTATACACTATATGAGAGCAGCAGCAAGGCCAGTTATTTTTTTTATTTAAGTTACTGATGAAGTTTTTCATAAGTGCCTGTCTGTACTGTAACATGGTATGTAATTCTTGGTTTTGCTCTCACTGCCAGCCATACCTATGGTATTTGCAGTGTTTTAATCAACTTGAACTGTATTGGGTGAAATTTATGACATGGAGAACTCATGTATTTGTGGTAAACAGCAGCATAAGATCTATCTGGAAGAAATCTTGTATTTGACTATGCATTCATCAGTGTCTGAATCTTTAATTAACATGTTCTTGTTTTAAACAGTAATTTGCACCCTACGCTGTCACCTTCGGATGTCTTTGAGCAGCCACAGCACATAGGTCATAAAAAAATTGAGTTCCATATTACTACTGACATCCCAGCTGTTCTTCAGATAAACTCGGAAAAAGAAGAAAAAAATGGTAAGAGAGTTCGTACTTCAAATGTATTTAATATTAAATTCATGTGGTTTCAGTGTGTAGAAGGCTGCTGAAATTTAGGCCAGGGAATTCTCCTCTTCTTTTGTATGGAGCTTTCATAAATAGTATACGTCAGGGTTTAAGAACACCAACCTGCGTCTTGTCTGCGTTTGCTGTTTTTCCCACGTTAAAGCACATAACTCTGTGCTTTGCTGCAGTAAAGGATCTAGAGGATTTTAAAGGGCTCTTTCTCTCCTATGTGATCTGGGGGTTTATGGTGGATTGGTCTCTATTTTAAATGTTAAGGTGTTTTTAGCAAATATGTTACAAACGCATTCTCAGTATTATATAGTGTAATTGAATATATCAGGCTAATTTCAGATTTTCCTTTTCCAGCTCTTAGAGAGCAGCATTCGAGTGATTGCCAACTCCTTCTCTGTGATGCACTGATTATCTGCTGTAAAAAATGCTGGGCGATAATAGCAATGAGGTGTGATGGTTTCTTATAGGGTTATGGTCAGTCTGTGTTTCTTGGTACTTAACAGTAGCATACAGTTTCTTTGAATGAAAATTAGAGAAACCACTGAAATGGATACAGGCTTGAACAGCAAGGCTAGTTTTACCTTTACTGGCATGTGCCATGGCTTTTATTTGTGGTACAGTTGATTTTATAAGACCATATAGAGCAGGTGTGTTTGTTAACCCAGGGATTAAGACACATTTCTTTAAGGATGTGTTCAAATTGCTTTACAAAGTCTACTATATTAAAATGTTACTGAAAAGAGTACATTTTTTTGCTTGCTCTTGATCCTCTTGTGAATAAACATACAAACCACTGATATAATGTGTTGAAATTTCAGACCTTTATGCGACCACGGAAGAAATCAATAATACAGGCTTTGGAAGGATTTTCCCAGCTCCTAGCTCAAATGATAAAATGGAAACTGAAGAGGAGGATGATGAAATACCATCAGAATTTATTTCTAGAAGGGATCTAGAAAAAAACAGACTTTCTAGAGAAGGTATAACTGTGCGAATACATTATCTAATAAGAACTCTTTGATTTGTTGCAACAAATAGTTTAAATAAGTATTTCCTTTATTAATTGATCATATAGTAAATTTAGTTATGGTATACCGAGCAAAAATACAAAGTAAGTAAATGAGCTAAAACATTGTCTGTTTTTCTGTCTTCAAGAAATAGAAAAATTTTCTGTTTTCAAAAACTATGAGCCCGGTGATCCAAATTGCAGTATATATGTGAAGAATTTAGCTAAACAAGTCCAAGAAAAGGTAGGTAAACAAGCAAATTAAATATTTATCAAAAGGGCTTTTTACCAGCTTTCCTCTTATACCTACCCTTTAATTTCAGGATCTCAAGTTCATTTTTGGAAGATACGTTGACTTCCAGTCAGAAGTGGAACGAAATATGTAAGTTAATTTGGTACTTGGTTAAAATTAAGCCTTTTATGTTAACTTCTGTCATACTGGTGAAAATTGTGATTTAAAAAGTAGTCATCTTTACTTTTTTCTTTATGCTTCTGCATAAAGAAAAAATGTTTCATCTGAAAATCTTAATTTATCACAAGTACAGAAATGGAATTATTTTTTGAACAGTGTCTGAAGACTCTACTATTTTGCCCCTTATTTTTGTTACCAAATTTACTGTTTATTGGCTGAGCGACACAGAATGAGCAGTGTAGGTGATTGTGTGTATCTGATCATTTTGCATTTGTCGTATTTACTACAGCTGCACACCGATTTGCCATCCTGCAGTCTAATGTCACTTTTTACTAAATGGTTCCCCCAGGCAAAATGGTTTCCAATGACATAATTCCTGCTTGTAGGCTCTGCACCCATTTCTGCTATTTCTCCAACTCGAAGCGTGAGAATTGTATTTGTACTGTGAAATATGAAAGTGTGGTGAAATGTGAGTAATGCCCAATTCTCAATTTTGCCTCTAGGTTTGATATACGTTTGATGAAAGAAGGCCGTATGAAGGGACAGGCTTTCATTGGACTTCCTAATGAAAAAGCAGCTGCCAAAGCTTTAAAAGAAGCAAATGGATATGTCTTATTTGAAAAACCCATGGTGGTTGTATCTTTTCAAACACTTACATTATATTCTTTGTCATCTGTCTGTCAATCTCTAGTTTTGCTCTCATAGTGTTCTACTTATTGGAAATCCTGTGGAAAGAGGAAGTACCTTAGAAAAAACCAGGCAGCATAGCATAGTGTACTATTGTTAGTTTTATGGTAACTGAAAAATATATAGAGGCACCTCTTCTGAAATAGGAAAGTCAATGTGTTTGATTTAAGACAATAAAATTGTCTACTCTGGTCTTAGCTCTTTGATCCTACAAACACAATACAAAAGATGATTTAGCTTGTATGACCGTTGTATTTAAATTAAGTAGGCTTTTTGACTTGGTTAAGCCTGTGTTTACAGAATTAAGAACATAAAGAAATGTTCCTTTCAGGGTCAGTGGTCTCTATTTAGACTGCTTCTCTGGCTGGAACTGTCAGTTACTTTTTGGGCCTGTGTAACATGTTGGGATTTCTACGCTTTTTGATTGCATTACCCTGTTTTTTGTCTATAAGTCCCTTCTTATTTTTCACTTAAATGTTTCATAGTTTATTTCCTTTCCTTTGTACTCTTGTTCACCCCAACCTCTGTTCCTTTTAGCTTTCTTCCCAAATACCTACTGAGACATCAAAGTTACGGAGTTAACATGCTGGGATGGAGGACTGTAAAGATCAAGCATTTGTCCTGCTGCAGTTACTCTGCACGTAACTCATTCCTGGTTAGTCGTGCTCATTTACTTAGTACTGTAAACTCTTGGACAGGATCTCTTAAATTTTTTTGTGCTGCAGATCAGTGAGGTCCTGATCTTTCACTAACAGACGCTATCGTTATAATATTTAATACTGTAGTAGAATTGATTCACAGATAAAGGCCACTTTTTAAACTACCTTTTGCTGAAATAATACTTCTTTTTTGCTTCTTGATTGGCTTCTGTTTATCATTGACACTTGTAGTCCTTAACAGAATCTCAGCAATTTGCTCGTTCAGCTAGACCAAAACAGGATGCCAATGATGGGAAAAGAAAAAAGTAGAACACTGCACAAGGTATGGATTCTCTGCCTGAAAATAAAAATAAAGAAATAGGCTGGGCTTTTTTGTTCATTTGCTTTGTTGGGTTTCTTTGTTTGTTTTTATTTATCTTTTTAATGGCTTCTTTAGGAATAGCGATGGTGGAGGGGAAATGTTCCATACAATTTTTTCTTAAATGTGCACTTATATCAGAAAACCAGAATGCAAGGTATATAGGTGGTGTAAGTTTAAAATGTTGCTTCTTCCTCTGTTTAGAAACTCGGAGACTGCCATTTCCCTAATCCTGATATCCTAGGGTAGTTGTCAGTTTCTCTAATCCTTAATCTGGGGAGCTAAGGAGAATAATTCTGTGGAATCGGACCCCTTACCTTTTAGTAATCTGCTGGGGTTTTGGCTTTGAAAAGAGTTGCCTCTTTTCTCCTTCCCTTCCGTCCCCGCCATTGTAAAGTGATCCTGAAGAACTGTTTCCAGCGATAAACTCGCTTCTGCTAGCTCTGTAAAGGACCTTTGGCTTTGCTAACTTTGGAAAATGAGATCTTCGTGCTGTTGCAGCATCCTTTAAACTTGTCTGGTTTGGGAAAGGGTATTGTGTCAGAAAGTGCTACTTAATGTTGCGTTGATCAAGGCTTCATTTGCTGTGGAACGCATAGGTCCTGGTTTTTGGCATTATTGTCTAAACTTGATGGGAAAGTAACTTTTAGCAGAAAGTAATCACTGTTTAACTTTATTTGCTATCATATAGCTTTACTTCACTACTGCTTACTCAAAGTATTTGCTTTATATAACAGTAACTCAAGCAAAATCAGCTCTAATTTAACTGAGGGGTTTCATGGCCTAAAAACATTTGAGTAGTGAACGGTCTCAAATTAGCATGTGAAGTAACTGGTGCAAGAATTAGAAGCACTTATTTCTCAATCTGCACCCTCGGGTAGATCAGCTAGCTCAAATTTAAAGGGCATTTAACTTCATTACAGATTACAGTTGGGCATCGCTCTGGTTACGCCTCCACCTAAGACCAAATGAACGCAAAGCTTAGGCTGAATGCTTCTGAAACATTCTGCTTAACCCATGACGTGTTTTTAGTCTGGATGTTTTGATGACTGTTACTTTGGAAAAAAACCCTGAAGTTTGAAATAAAGGATGTGAACAGCTGTTTTTGATTTTTAAAAAACGGTTGGAGACCCCGCAGTATGGTTATAGTGAGGGTAGTGTTTCTAAGTTACTTCAATTGTAGGTTTCTTCTTCTGTCAGTTGTCTAAGGATTTTTTCATCAGATTATATTTGAGCTTGTTTCCCTCATTTCTGAGATGCTATTTGGTCTTATCAGTTCCTATTTCGAGTTACTGATTTGTGGTTTGCAAAATTTGTATTTTATCAAATTAAAGATCACTTTTTCTACAGGCATTCTTCTGTATTGGTCATTGAAAAGAGACAAATGAGCCTTGGCTGAAGTATTCTATTAGGAACAAGGGTTTATGGGAATGTTTCAGTCTTGTTTCTTACTCCTTCCTTGTTAGAAAAAAACTGGTATTTATATTAATTTATCCAGTGTCTAATAAGAAGAAAATTACTAAGGTTTCTTTAAATGCAGAAAAGAAACTTGAAGCATTTTAGCTATTGGAAAGCCTGATAAATGAAGTCTGAACACTTTTTTCTTTTAGGAATTCCATGTCTTTCCAACTAATTTTGTACATTAAATCTAATTCTGGCTTCACTAAACATGCTAAATAATACATGAATTACATAAAGAAAATAACGAGGTGCTTATGTTTATTAATCATGTTGATGGTCAGCTCAGAAGCTTTTTTTTAGAGTGAGCAAACACGTACTTACGCAAGACTTTATCTGTGCACGAGTTACCTTGGTGTCCTTGGTTTAATGTATCACGGGCAGAACTTCTTCCTTACCTTGACCATTTATACGTAAAGATCACAGAACGTGCCATAGGCTAATACAGATTTCTAGGGATCCATGAGGTTTAACTAAAAATACTTGTTTCACTTCCCAACTAATGATGAAACTGAACCCTATTTCTGCATGACTATGTTTTCCTGTTCCTGCTGGAATACTCTGATGGGTCTCGATTTATGATGCAAAATTCCATGAGTCTGAGTCTGAAATCTGAGTCTGTAAGGAAAAACAGTGTCAGAATCTCATTTGAAACATAAATATGCATATGAAGAAGTTTATGCAAACATTTGAGGGACTTAAAATTCCATCTGTATCCTGCATCTCAATGTTGTGATTCGTTTTATAACAACTAAATTGACATAAGTTAAACTTCTGATTATTTTTAAACAGGAAGAAGCTGTGTTAAATTCACGAGTGTTACTGCAAATACTTTTATTATTTTTTAGTATTTTCTCTACAAAGGTTTTATCCTTTCTAGAGAAAATAATACGTATAGTTTATAAAAATACTATGTAACTCCTTGCTGGCTGAAATGTCTTTTTCTTGATGGACTGGAAAAATTTCAGTTAGTATTTGGGGTGACTATTTTTTCTGTAGCTAAAATACAGCTTTTTGGGAGAAAGGTTATGTAGCAGAAACTGATGTTGAGAGGTCTCCAGCTTCTGCATAGGGAAGAAGTGACTTGAAAGCCTGCATTGAATGGAAACATGATTGGGTTTTGGACCTGATGGAAAAAGTGAGTCTGTAAAATGGCAAAGACTTGAAGGAGGATTAATGAGACAGAAAAATCTGGTGGTGTCCTAGTAGTTCCAAGTTATCGAAAATGTATTTACTTTTGAATATGGAGTTTAGTGTTGGTGGACTCATCAGCCCTCAGTAAATCTCATAAGGGGTCAAAACTGTATTTTATCAGAGGCGCATATTTGCTTTTGATAGGTAGCATAAAGTTATGTGTATGCAATACTGAGAATCAAGTAAAATTAAACCACATTCTGCTGTTCTTCTTTAGAAACATTCCTGCGTAAATACTGCAGTAATACTGTCATGCAGAGTGTATCCTTTCTTGTTGTATCCTTTTTTTGTGCAATGTTTCCCGTAGCACTCAACTACATCTAAGTTTCCATATAGAGTAGGTGTGGGGAGGAGTTTACGTGTTTTAGAGCTTGAACTGATCTGGTAATTTTAAAAGCAAAGGGCACTTTTTCAGGGGGGAAAGAAAAAAAAAAAAATCAATGAGTTGTCTGTGTTGCGTGAATAGACACAATGGAGGTTCCTAGTGTTGACAGGTGGCCTCCACCTTCTTCCTCAAAGGTCATGTAAATTGCTAATTTGTGGTCCAATTCCTTAGCTTGTTTGAGCTAGAAGTGTTCCACTGATATGCGTGGAGCTGTGCTGAGCTCACACCAAGGATGTCTTCTTATTTTTCTTTAAATAAATGTAATAATAATAATACGTTGGTTAAAATATGTTGCAGAGCAATTCTTAATAATATTAAAGGGTTGACCAGTATTTTAGATCATTTGATGATTACTGTTGTCCTGGTACATGAGAAACAATCTGTAGTTGACTTAGTTTGTACATTCCTTACTTTTTTCTTTTTTGAGTAGAGAAGAAAATCTAACAGTATCTCGCAATGAAGTATTTGGAATTGAACTATTAATCACTGCTACCTTTTTGTTGGGTTTTTTTTTTTTAGATTGTTCTCTGCACTGAGGTAGTGTTGTTGCCAATAACACTTTTCTTGTGGGTTTCATATTATGTTATTGTTTAACTTACTGTAATATAAAATTAATACAGCCTCTATCTATTAAGTCAGATTTTTTCCAGACATTCAGCACTTTTCTAAATACTAAGCATCTTTCAATTTAGTTGTCAAAGGAGAGCACAACACTACTATTTTCTGGTTGTTCTTACTTTTAACACGCCTTTGTGATGTTCCAGGTCCCTTTTGTGTTCCATCTCTTTCAAGTATTATCAAGCTGGGGGAAGAAGCAGTGTAATCATCGGGACTCTTGAACTGTGCGTAGTAGCATTTCTAAAGTATTTTAGGAAGAGTATAAATTTTCTCATCTTAAAGATTCCAGATACCTTTAAACTGTCACAAGACTTATATGATAAATGTATGTTAGTTTGCTTGTGAAATCTCTAATAAATTATTTCCTTTCTCTTCATTTTGCCTTTTTCTCTTCATTTTGACTTTTGTTTTGTTGCAGGGCTTGGGAGTGGGAAGGAGGAGGAAGACTTTTTTTTTTTTAAAAGGTCAACAGTCCAATTGTAACTGTGCAGCATGACGATTTGGAGTATATATTCATGTGTATGCATATATTCTTATATATATTCATATGCACCTCCTGGGGTGTGATGCTTAGCTGTTAGTGTTTCAGGGTAAAAAGATAAGAAAATCTAAGGATAATCTCATTTTAGTGTAAATCTTTTTCTTGTTTTGGAGACTAAGCACGAGGACTAGTGCACCGGCATGAATTTGTACTGTGAAATTAGGCACTGTTTTTTCCTCGGTAATTAACTTCCATTGTTCATCCACATCTTGAAAAAACATCTACCACTGGTGAGACCCAAGTCATTAAAACAAGGATAGCGGTTAAACCAGCGTTAAACCAGTGTAGGTGCGGTCCTTGCCCCGTTGAACTGTGTTAATGAAAATCAGTGCTGTGGGGGTCACACTGAGGTTTGTCACATACTAGGAAGATTAGCGTAACTTTCGAAAACCGCGTGGGAAACATTGCAATGACGTTTACTTGGCCAGAGAGTCCAGTGGATTTAAGGAGAAAATTATTCCGTGAACTATTAATTCATAGTTAATGGTGTGCTTAACAGGCTGGTGTAAAGACTTTTCTTTTGTCATCATTCCAGCTGCAAACAGCCTGAATCACCAGTATTGATTGCTGGACCAAAATAAGTGTCTCTCTCCTGTTTTTTCAATATGAACTGGCTTAGCAGATGACTTTTGTCTCTCTCCTGTTTTTTCAATATGAACTTATGGCTTAGCAGATGACTTTAAAATGCTTTTACTGGAATTCTTCGTAGTTTATTTGCTGCGTTCCCATGTGGAGTGTGTAGTTGTTTGTTAGTTTATCTTATCTGTATTTGGAGTAATAGGCCAGGAAAAATACACTGAGAAAGGAAGTTTTATGAGAACTTGTGAAGGGTTTATGATGCTTAGAAGAGAGAAAAAAGTGGCTTAAAAAAATAAAAATTTTGTGTTGTGTGGCCATTCCATTATGAATAAAGCGAAGCTTGTGTTCTTGGTGGGGTTATGTTATTAAAGAACAAATAAAACATACTCCCCACCATCCGATACTGATAATCTATCAAGGAAACTTCTGCAGTCCAGTTGCGAGAGCTTTTTTTTGATGTCAGAAGGCAAAGATTTCATTCATGAAATCAACTGGATTTTCGTATACCCATTCCTGCTGGTTGGTTTTTGGTTTGGTTTGTTTTTTTTTTTTTCCTTTCCCTTGGAATGTTTGTTCTGTTTGATCTGGTATTTCAGGTCAAACGACCTCTGCGGTTTTTTAACGAGTCACTAGGGCCGATTTCCGAGATCTCACATAAGCAGTGAATGCAGGCTTAATTCACAATTTTTCTTCATTAGCTAAAGACATTTAGACACAGCAACATTTCTTATTTAATTAACCTTTTGAATATACTCACATCACTATAATTTTCAAGGCTGACTCAGATCATCTAACAATCATTTAATTAACCTTTTGAATATACTCACATCAGGATAATTTTCAAGGTGAGGCTGACTCAGATCATCTAACAATCCTGAATTCTACTATAGTGCTCTTGTATAAATGGACTCCTTGATGTAGCAAAGATCTTGTGATAGCAGGAGCTAAATTAGATTTATTTTCTACGTATAAATGTGAGTTGTGTGCCTTGTCAGAATTTTCTTTGAAAGCCAAATTCAGAAGGTCGTTCTAATATGCTTTGAATTCTAAAGAGATGGATTTTAAAAAAGCATGCACATTTTTCCAGTGTCCTCAGCGTGAGTTTCATATGTAAGGCTCCTCTTCAGTTGAAGTCTTTTGAGTGTTTTTTCCTCAAAAACTTTGAATTATAGGGACTTCACTATATGGTAGTGAAAAGAAATTTTGGTTTTGAGAAGGCAAAAATAATAATGTCGTCTGCAAAGTGGAGTTAACGTGCATGCAGAAATTAATGGTTTCTAGCTAAATTATCCTTATGGTGATGGTAACTTGGGAAATTCACTAAGACGTTTCACATGTGACACCGTTTGCATCCTTGTCATCCCTTCGTGTCTCCGGAAGTTGACAGCTAAGAGAGGACCTCATGTCAGCTGGGAATCACTTTTCCTTTATTATTTTCTAGGACATTTCCAACTGCTTCCAGTTTATTCCTTAAATGTATCTTCCGACTTGATACAAGACTGAATTCAGAGAACGCGTTCGCCGTCGTCAACCCTTCGGTCTTGTTAAGTAGCGTACGTTGCTGCTGTTCCTGTTGTAGGACGAGCACGTCAGTCCCGCGACTCCCACCCGAGTCTTTTGCTCCAGCCTAGCAAGCAGCTTCTGGCACGAGACCCTTTTATGTTATATACAGACAAATGTTTACTCCAGTTGTGGTTTTGACTGTTCCCAGAGAAGAGAAACGTTACTCTGGTAATGACAAACTCCGTTTGTTAACTTTGGCAAAGACGCTGTAGCAATATTTAAAGTAGAAAATCCGAGTTCACCTGCTGTAGCCTTCAAAGACGCAGAACCCCGCCGTGTGCTACCACGTTTTTGGTCTGTATCTGGGTGGAGCCGCTTCTCAAAGCTTTGTGACTCAGTTTATCGCACACACACACAGGTGTGTGACAGAGGAGACAGGCAATACGGCCCAGCACCCACTTTGAGTTACAAGTACAGAACCAAGCTATTAAAACGTTGCATAAAAGGCCGACTGGGCAAATTTTCACACCAGTGAAGTAGGGTAAGAGCAAAGGGGTGCTATACTCAACGACAAAAACACTTAAAAAAAAGGAAGACGTGAGATGAAGTGTATATGCAGAGATACTTCCTTTCTCAAATCTCGGGAACAAATACATTCCAGAACGTAGTTTTATCTTGAATCAACACAATCACGTGTAACACAAAGCTTTTAGGTAAGCCCGTTTATTTCACCGTATAACGATTGCTCTTAAAGTAACGCAGCTGACCGGCGGGGGCGGCAGCGCTGGAGGGCCGCGGTCCCCCCGCTCCCGGCCGCGGTCCCTC